TTTTTTCCCCTATGGTAAAGTATTAGGGCAAAAGGAGTCACCATTATCAGGAGCCAGGGGGCTGCTTTGACTCCCTTCATTCTCTTTCTTTGTTGCTGGAGAGAGAAAGAGGGGGGAGGCCATCTGAGACCCATTGAATTTCCAAAGGCAGTACAGGTGAGGGGATTGTTTTTTACCCAATATGGTATGGGGAACTGTGTTTTGCAAGATAGTGATTTTTCCCCCAATTGGAATGTTTAAATAGATTTCAATGCATTCCAATGGGGAACTGGGTTTCGTAAGACAGCGATTTCCATGGAAAAAATTTAAAGATTTCCATGGAACGAATTAAAACCATCTTGCGAGGCACCAGTGTAATTCCAAGGAAGCTGTCTCGGTTGAAAACTAGTACCTGGTGTCAGTAATGAGCCAGATGAAGGCAAACAAATTGAAACTTAACCCAGACAAGACAGAAATGCTCCTGGTCAATTGGAAATCAGATGAGGGAAAAGAGATGCAACTTCTGCTGGATAGGGTTACACTCCTCTGAAAACCCAGGTCCATAGCTTGGGTGTACTCCTGGATTCATCCCTGAACCTGGATACCCAGGTTTTGGCAGTGACCAGGAGTATATTTGAATAATTAAAGCTGCTGTGCTAGCTGTACATGTTCCTTGTGATGTCTGATTTGGCTACATGACTTATTTACATCCTCGGTCGTCCCCTTCTCCTCTTGCCATCACACCTTCCTAACATCAAGGTTTTTTCCAAGGACTCTTTTCTTCTCATGAGATGGCCAAAGTACTGGAGCCTCAGCTCCATGATTTGGCTACATGACTTATTTACATCCCATGTAACAAACTAAAGAGGGATTATTGTAACATACTCTATGTGTGGCTTCTTTTGAAGACGTTTTGGAAACTTCAGTTGATTCAAAACGCAGCTGCCAGGCTGCTGACTGGGGCCAGTCACAGGGAGCATATAGCACCCCTGCTACTACAGCTGCATTGGCTACCAGTCCATTTCCAGGCCCAATTCAAAGTGCTGGTGATAAACCCCTATACGGTTTGGGTTCAGGGTTCAGGAAGTCTGAAGGAGTGTACAATATCTTCCCATATGATCCTTCCCAGTCCTTCAGATCATCAGACGAGGGCAGTCCTCCTCTTGGTCCCATTGCCATCACCAGCACTTTTGATGAGGACACAAGAGGGGGCCTACTCTGTGGCTGCTCCCAAAGTGAAGAATGCTCTCGCTCAAGAGGTCAAGTTGCCCTCTTCCTTTTACCAACAGTTACAGACCCACCTCTTCAGGCAGGCTTTTAATAATCATAAGAATCCCTGAATGCTGGGTTTTAGCTGAGCAAGTTTGTTTTCAACATTTCAAATGTTTTTGATTATTCATTGAATTTTAATTACTACAGGTATTATGGTTCAAAGGTCTTTAAGATATAATTTATTGCATTTTAAAAAACACTGCAACCCTTCTTGAGTACCCTCATTGGGTGAAAGGTGGCTTATAGATGAGACAAACAAACAAACCAATCAATCAAGATTCCCCAGAATTCTGGTTTATTGTTGTGTGTGAACACAGCCACAAGAAGTGTCTTAGGCTCTACAAAGAGGCACAGACTCTCAATGAAGTCGCCTATTTCTTAATCTTCCTGGGATTGGGCACTTGGTTGCTGCCATCATTTCACCTGGACACCTCAGTCCAAGAGAAGAGATAGCAGTATCAGGGAAAGGGAGAAGAAAGGAGTGAGAGCAGCCAGTCTCTCACTAGCTATAAAAAGCTATCATAAGACTTCTGCAGCCACAAATGTCAGTCACCAATCAGCACAGATGGAGGGTCAAATCACAGGGCAAAGACTGAACGGAAAATCGCAACATAAGCAATTCTGATGGATTGTTTCAAAGTATTGGAAACGAACACTGGTCTCAAGTAACCAGAAAAATAATTTCACAAGAGTCTTCTGTAGCTATATATGGAATGCATCCAGCTTCATGAAGAGAACACTTAGCAAACAGCACACAAAACTATTTCAAGTAAACATAAAATACCGCAGCAATTCCACATGATGAGGAAAGCCCAGAAAGCATTATGACTCTTAAGAAATACTGCTTTATCCACAAATTTAACACATCTCAGCAAACTTTTAAATAGAAATAAACACCATATCTACAACATTATGCAAAAACATATTGTGCATACGTTATAATTATGTGAAATTACTCATTAGAAAGCATCCTTCACATTAAGAAACGGCAATAAGTTATTTACATCACAAACTTTGCTTCCACAAATGATATGTTAGCACCAGGATTATTTTGCTCCACTTGCCGTAGCCAAGGGGTAAAATTTATTTATTTATTTAACTTATATGCTGCCACACATTAATAATCAGCAGCATATAAAACTCAGCTATATTACTGTTTTATTTATCAGAGTCTCTGCCCGCTGCTGCAAACATATATCACCAAATGCGAAATATTTTCTTTACACCCTGGCATTTTTTTTGATGCCTAGTGTGTAAAGGGCTTTGAAAATAGTTCAATAAATACGGTTGCTCAACATCTTTGATCAGTGCATCTCCTTGCTATTTACTGTATGTTAGCTTTCCTGCAGAAGGACAGACAAATAAGCAGAGATGGGCATGAATCAGAACATTGGTGATTCATTTTGATTTGTGGTTTGTCAAAGTTCCCTGAGGAAAGTGCCCGTTAGCAGCCGGCTTGGGAAAACCCAATCCTCACCAAACTTTCCTAGGGAGCCTCTCTTTGTGGGTGTATAACTTGGACATCTGAAACCTGATCTTCATCAAACGAGGAGGGCTTATAGAGAAGAGTCAGAGGAGGCTTCCCTGATAATTAGGTATCTCTAGGTGCGGGGAGGGGTTGGGCATTTTAAAATCAAACAAATCGACCAATCAAAAATTGCTAAAGATCGGGGGGGGGAGGCATCGATCCGTAACCAATACGAATCAACGAATTAGCAATGCCTAAACAAATCTGGTAATTCGTTTTTAATTCATCCCCGTCTCTACAATAATGTAGCGCAAGACGAACTTCTCCTCGATGCCACAGAGCCAGGCTACACAACCGAGGGGCAGAAGGGGCGTGTTTCGAGGGTTCAACAGCCCGAACTCACTCTCCCCTGTTGCAAATGCAAACTGTACGAGATTATTATTACTGTATTATTATTCACTGCAGAGAGAGGAAACAAGGGCTCGCCTGGAAGGGGGCTCTCCCCACGCCGATCAACGACATGCACACACACATATCCCACATGGGCTGAAGGCGCAAGCCCACGCCCATCGCCCCTGCCTGGAGCGGAAACAATAGGAGGGAGAGCCTGAGACCAGAGAGAGAGAAAGGAGCCGCCCGTCCTGCCCTGCGCCAGCTCGCCCTCCTAAGGCGGCGAGGATCCCTCGCAAAGGCCGCGCAACTCCTTCCCCCCCTCCCCGGAGGGCGGAACGGACGGGCAGACGGTCCCGAGCCCCAAGCCTGTCGGGTTTCCCCCTGTACTCACCGAACAAGGTAAGCGCCATCGCAGAGGATCGCGGGGCGAGAGCTCAGCCAGACTCGCCGGCCCGGCATTGGCTCCCTTGCCTGCAGCTCGACCGGACCGGACCAGAACGAAAAGGAGACGGGAGATTTTATAAAGACCTCCCCCAAGCCAAGCCAAGCCAAGCCGCCTAAAGGAGAGCAGGGGCAGCGGCGGTCCGAGCGGCTCCGGGGTCGGCGAGGGGGATGGCTGCTTAGCCTCGGCAAGGCCACCCGAGGCGCCGCCGAACAGCTGGTGCCTCCACTGGGGGAGCGCGGAGGGAAAGGCTCCCTGTGGGGAGGCGAGGTCCCTGCCCTTCCCTCCTCCTCCTCCTCCGAGGCAGCTGCCTGTCTTCAGGCTCTGGTAGCCATCTTGCTTGCCCACATGACCAGCCTCTCCTTCCCGGCCTGCCGAACCCCGGGCCGGTTCCCATAGCAACGGACATTCACGGGCCACCACCCCCCCAGCCTCCGTCCCTCGCCCCTTCGCTTGCCCCTCAGCCAGCGAGGGAAGGAGGGAGGGGCTGCATCCCACATGCCACACACACACCACAGGATTGGGATTGTAGGGCATCTTATTTATTTATTTATTTATTTTAGTAGGGAAGAGGGCAAGGAGGTCTCCATCGCTTCATGTAGCAGAAGAAAAACAAAAGCACACGCGCGCACACTCAGGAAAAAAAAAAGAGAGAGACAAGAAACGTGGTAGCACCTTAAAAACTAAGCATTGTATTTTAATTTAAGCTTTTGTGGGCACCTCCACTTCGTCTAGTTTTCCCTGCTAAATGTCCATGGGTTACGCACCCTGATGGGGCTAATTTGTTTTACAGTCGTGTTGTAAAAATAGTAGGTGATATTTTATCTACATTTCGTTCCATTCTGTTTCTTTATGTCCGACAAAGTGGACCTGCCCACAAAAGCTTACATTCAAGTTTATTAGTCTTTAAGGTGCCACATATTTTTTGCCTTTTTAAAAAAATCGTTTGTTTCTTTTGATTTTGCCTGATGTGCTTGCACAGACTGACAGGGTGACCCTCTTCTAACACTGCCCCTCTTAACGTGCCATCTCCACCTCTCCTGACCTCAGTGGAGGAAACATTTCCACATTTCTCTTTTCATTCAGGGCCAAACATATTCTTGAGATACTCCAGAGCATACCCTTAAATTCTGTATTAGTTGATACAGAATAATGACGATGTCCTTATTCCGTTACCCTGAGTAGTAGCAAAGATTAGAGTTACCCATTATTGATTTTTATTTGTATGCTCCTTGGTTTTTTAATATCTCCAAGCAGTTTACATTAGAAGTAGACAATATAAAATCAACTTTTAAATGGCCAGTAATGCTGTATAGATATTTTACTTGATATTGAGGCATTTCAAAGATAGGGAGGCTCTGCCATTTTTAAATCATTCTGATTGTTAATACAATATGGCTGCCAAAAGGTAACTAAGTGTTATTTTAAGCATGCACACTTTTTGGCTTTGAACTTTTGTTGTAGTGTTTCTTGGGAAAAAAACATACACTTAATTGTGGTAACATATATGTAAATGTTGTGGTCAACTTGCCATGCAAAGGGTTACACACAAATATATTTCTTTCAGTATGACCAGATTTTAGAGAGGTACTAATTTGTTAAGAGAACCGCATTTCCTTTTTCTCCACTATATATTAAGTATTGCCACTTGGCCAAAACTTGTCTGTTGGTTATATTTTGTGAGCGCTAGGACAAGAGGTTGACAAAGAACCACCTTATATTTGTATATAGTTAGGAGATTCTTGTATATTACATAGACAGTATTTTTACATATTATAAATTACGTTATGTATTTACAGTAATATATTATATGCAAATATAATAAGTATGTATATAGTCCAACATTTCTTTTTTTGTCCCCAATGTTATTATCCTAACAACCTTGTAAAATAGGTTATGCTTCGAATTAATGTTCAGCCCAAGGCTTCATGGCTGAGGATTTTAACACGAATCTCTGTCATTGTAGTCCAATACTCTGCTGTCTCACTTTCCTCAAAGATATAACTAAAATAACACAGATGATAACATAAGAACAATACACATGGTCTAAAAACCAAACATCCAGACTGCATCCAGACTGCATTTTAGAAAGTAGGAAGAAAAGCTTTGAAAGGCTGGAAAAAATGATGTTATTGTTCACCAAAAATCAAGCAGAAACAACACCAAGCACACGTATGGTGTGTGTGTGTGTTCTATTCTACATTCCAGATGCCATGACAAAAGGCCAATCTGTGGTGCCCCTTTTTGTTCATCTGTTGGTAGAGCAGCAGAGAGGAAAGCAATCAAGGCAGGAAGCAATTTTCTCAAGCCTCATCGGGATTTAAAGGTAAAAAAAAACCAGCATACTGACTTTGTTCTGGAAGCAAAATGGTAACTAGTAAGGTTGGGTAAGGATCTGTATAATGTGACTCAATTTGGCAGCTGCTGTAGCAGAAACCCTGACAGCTTTCTTCAGAACGAAGAAAAAAGCCTACAGTTTATCTTCAAGGACAGCTCCATGTGCAATGTGCTACAGTAATCTAATCAGAGCTCGCTATAACATACTACAATTAATATTACAGTACTTGGAATGCATTACTTTGGAGGGTAAAAATGGCATAAAGAATTTTTAAAACATGACTGATAGTGTTAATTTTTTTAAGTGAAAAGTAATGTGTAATCATTACTCCTCAAAAGCTTCTACACAATAAGTTTTGTGACGATCTTTGCTAATAAAACCAGAGAGAAGCTTCTCATTCTTTGGTTTAAGTATTATAGACAGCTTTGCCTTACATAAACTGCACCGGGAGAAATCAGTGCTTCTTTGGTTAATAGAACAAGGAAGTGTGGACTTAGAATGGCAATTGACTCTGCATGTGTGGATAAGGAGTGAAGGAATTTTGGGTCTCTAAAATAAGAGTCATGTTCCGCTCTGCAGAGTGCTGGCCTAAACTGGTTCCTCTTGTTGCTGGACATTCCAAACTTCCAGGATAGTTTTGCACAGGACTATGCAATAGTTATCTCTTCAAGGTGATCTCTTTAGAAAAGGGGCAAGAAAAGTAATAACAAAATAGTTGCTGGGATGGACAGCTGCTGAATTATTAAAAAGGATTATTGTGCTAATTTATTTTGCCTCTTGAAATCTTGTCACCTGTTTCCTGAATTACAATAAACATACTACTGAAAGCTGAGTGACAATTCATTTGAAAAGGGATTTCATCATGACTGAAACCAAACAAAAATGAAAAGATGCATGCCTACAGAAGTGACAGGTCTTTTTTCAAAGGGTGCTTCAAATTCCAGAATTATTGTACCACTGACTGGCAAAACTAGGATTTCACTACCAACATGTATTATAAATTGGCAAGGGCTGTCAGGGTAAGTCTTAGGCACCCATCACCCATAATTCCCAAGGGACGCCTGGCAAGACTCGCAGCTCAGTTTGAAGGGTTTTTTTGTGTTAGACTAGTGTGATGTCATTATAGCAGAAAGCCACAAGAGAGAGGAGGGAACTGGGGAGAGAGACAATGAGCGCATTTGGAGCAGGCAGAGAATGGAGCAGCCATGTTGCAATTCGTGAGCATTTTTATGGAATAGGCCCTGACCACCAGGACAGGGCTAAGGAGAAAGAAGTACTGTACCCTCACTGGGTCTGGTAATGAGTTTTCCACAAGCCCCAGCAGAAACATAGCAGCTGGGAAAGCTACTCATGTGTGCTACAGGTAGGAACATATGAGATCCAAGCAATAGTGTAAGTAACCAGTGCAGTTCTTGGTTTCCACCTGCCCAGCTGATGAAAAATGTTTTCCTCCAGATTCTAGATTGCCCTATTACCTGGCTAGCCTAGGTTTGCATGGATTCTCAGTCCATTCATCTAGATTCCACTTCTGCCTATTTTCACAATTAACTAACTCAGAAGCAGTACTTTGTCTCAGCTCTTGCCTTCCCCATCTCTGTGGTATCAGAAAGGCATGCCCCAATGTCTCAGATTCCAGCTCTGTGCAGTGTGTTAAGCAACTATTTTTTTTCACCCATTTAAAAGCAAGGAGAATATTTTAAAACTTTAAAACAGATCAGAAAGCAAAAGAATTCCTATCATCATTATTTAGAATATGTCATAATGTGCTGCATTGTGTGAAATGACAGGTTATGCCTAGCAAGGGCACTTTATAGTGTTCATGTGCACACACTGACAGTAGAGATGATGTATCCACTTGGAGATTTAACTTCTGGAGGCCCCTGGGGAAGGAAAAGAACTCTGAGGAGTGACAACACTAGGAATTTATACTGAAAAATTTAGTTGGGCAGTTCTAGACAAGATAAAGGAAAAGCCAGTGATTTACCAGGGAGAGAGGAATGAAGAACAAGGATGGCTGAAATGTATAGGGAAGTATAAAGGAAGACCATTGCTCCTATGGGCTTTTATTATTTGAGTTTTGTGGGGGGGATGGAGCTTGACCACTTCCTTGAAATCTAATATGATGAAGGGAAATATGTAAACATTCTAGGCAGAATAAATAAACAAACTGGCATATATCTATTTTCTGGAGAAGGAGGGGAGTGCAGTGAACTAGAAGTCAACTGTGACCAAACAGAAGATCAGGCATTGAAATAGAGAATGAGTAGTTTCTTACAGCTGACTCAAAATGAATTAATGAATATGTTATATGTTTAATAAATTTTATTACATTGTGATAGAAATATGCTTTCAATACAAAGTAGTCAAGTGTCATAGCTGTTTTTATGTGCCATCAAGTTACTTGTAGTGTATGGTGACTCCCAGCGAGTTTTCCAGGTCAGTAGGAAGTGGTTTACTATTGGCATCCACCAGTACGTTTTCATGGCTGTGTAGGGATCTGAGTATTGAGGTTTCTTGAGTCTAAGGACCTGACTACACAGGAGTATTTGTGTGTAATCAGGTTCTTAGACTCTCATATATATAGGAAACACTGTGGCGTTGGGGTAGTCTGATTCACATTTCCCCCACTGATCACATGACACAATGAATAGGGATGTACACAGGTAAGGCTTCTGGGTTTGGTGCATTGGTAATTTCAGGGGTGTGTGTATCTCATTCATTTTTAGATGCTAATTAAAGGACCTATCTTTTTCACGTTCTTTCATTTAATTTTTCCCCATTCATAATCTGTCTGGCACTCATCCAAAAGCCGTAAAATATCCTTAAAATACAACAAAAAAGCAGAGCCATGACATACAGCAGTGAATTCAATCAAGAGCCACAAACAGTCCTTAAAAACTGCTTCAAATGCTGGTAAACAGTATCCTCACTGTGATGCAGTCCAATGAGAAATGAAAAGGACTTCGAAAAAGCAGAAAAAAACCAGGAAAGTAAAGTGTAGGGGGGGGAGGGGACAATCCCTAAGAAATCAGAAAGAGGGGAGAAGTCTTT